TATATATATATATATATATATATATTATCTGTAGTAATTCTATTTCTATTCCCTCCCATTCGAACATCCTTACACGGCACATTTCCTCCTACGCCTAAGCGAAACCGCCACGTGCGGTGTTCCTCCCTAGTGCTCATCGGTCAATTACAAATGATTCGAATATTCGAACTCGCCGCCGTGCGATCCAGGGGTGCGTTCAGATTCCTCATCCGGGTGCACTCTATTACTAGAAACATTATAGTATATGTCACATATACTATAGCACTTCTAGTAATAGAATATACCCGAGTGGGGAATCTGAACGCAGCCCAGAACGAGGTTCCCCAGAGTCGGCAGCATCTAGAGGTCCAGGGGTGCGTTCGAAAACATCACCCGTGTGTATTTTGTCACACTCAGATCGTTCGAAAACCCCTAGTGGGCACACTGACCATGCGACCATGGCCGTTCGAAAACCGTACTCCGTGGACCACTCGTGTGACTTTTCTCCACTCTCTTTTGCGCGGTGTGAATCGGTGGAGATGGTGGAGAGTGCGCAAAGAGTGCAATACAGTATGAAATTACTAAATTATTTATGGTTTTTTGTTCTTCGAAACATTCGTACAACCATTAGCCATCACGGTAAGATAAAAAATTTAAATACAGCAGTGTAGGTTAGCCAGGTTTAGGTTTATTTCTATAGTGATGTATATTGTCAGAATATTGTCTTTAAATATAAATAAAGCTTATTAAGCTTTTTGTATTTTATAGGTTCTGAAATTTTCTTACGAGATACGAGGCACGTTAAAAGTCACGAATCAGTAACAATTTGTGAAAAAAAATGGAAAATTTAATCTCGGGTCGTCATATTTTATGCATGGATATTTAAAAAAATATACAAAAGGATGACAAGGGAAATGTCTATATATACGATGTTAAAGGTAAGGAGTAATAAATAAGTTTATAAATTTCCTTAGGCCTGGTGCCCACGATGCTAGAAATCGATCCGAGTTCTCGGACCGAGAAATATATAGCCAATTAACTTTCCAGATAACTAAATTATAAATTAATAATTACTAAATTAATTAATTAATTAATTACTAAATTTATTAATTTATTATTATTTTGCTGAGAAGCAATTATAGCTAATGTCGAAATACGCTTTCGATCAGCCATTTTGTACACACATATGTAGGCACAACACACATGTAGTATGTCACATTGAGCATTCTTCCATGGCTGTTCGAAAACTCCTCTCGATACCAACTCCACTAACCCCACCAAGCCTATCCACCACAGCCACTTTCCGTCGTGGACTTTCAGTGTTTTCGAACGCACCCCAGGAGGTGCCGATCCATGTAAGCCACGAGAGCGCCATCCAGAGGTACAGAGAGCAACCGCACGGTGGACGACTGGTAAGTTATTATCTATATTATTTCTATACGCGCGAAACTACGATTAAAGCCTGCGACTGTCCGACCCACCGTAAGGTTACACTACGGTGGTTATACTACGCGTCTTGCGCGAAATCCATCGCGATTACCCTTGATCGCACGGATCCCCGGGTAGAATCACGCGATTCGTTTAGCCCGAAAAATTGCGATTTGATCCTGTGCTAGGGTTCGAGCGCTATTCTTCACGACAACGTGGCCGCAACCCGCCGGGACGTAACAATGGCATATACCGTATATGCCATCCTTCTGCTTTCGTAATAAGTGACGGCGCTGGCGTGTCAAGCAGTGGTTGTCTCTTTCCTGGGGTGCGTTCAGATTTCCTACCCAGGTGCATTCTATTACTAGAAACACTATAGTATATGTTACATATACTATAGCACTTTTAGTATTAGAATGCACCCGGGTAGAGAATCTGAACGCAGCCCTGAAGTTGGGACGCGTTCCGAAATCTACAAATCGAAAACGAAAAATCGGTGCACAAACTTTTCAGACCATGAGTGTATACATTCTCCCCACTCTCGACTATGAACCAGACAAGGATAAGAGAGGAAACAAGGTACCTCTCTCTCATCCTACACATCTCAAGAGGCAGCCAGATAGTAATATTTCAGTGGTTAATTCGGATTAGTAACAACCGTAGTTAGTGAATTCTTGGATTTTATTAGTATATTCTTTTAGATCTAAATGTACTCCAATCGAATTCGAGAATTCACTACTACGATAGTTACTAATTCGGATTAACGTTGCCGTGTAAACGTAGTCACCAAAAAGCTACGCAACGATAACGAGACTGTAGTTAATTGCAAACGAGTTATAGAATCACACCATTGATGTGCAACGGGTAGATCCATTTTTCAGATATCTCTAGTATATATTTATGAATACTGCAATATTCTTATTTTATCTTATTATTCTTGTTCATTTCATTTTACAATATAACGGTTGGTTTGCGCAACCAGCTCTTTGTACACATTCTCAAATATACAAACATCATTTATGTGTGAATATGTTGAAAAGTATATGTATATAATGCATTTGAGACTAATTCTGGCGATACGTTAAAGTTAATGAAGTTGATAAAAACGGATGGGAGGAGTGGAATCAACGTTACGTGAGGAGAGACACGATCGGGACATCTGGATTACTCCTCTAAGTCCAGGTCCCCCAATTCTTCTTCCAAACCTTCCAGGTCTTCTTCCATGAAGAGATTTTCATTGATAGCTAACGCCGCAGCACCTTCTTCCACAGTCACTAATAGAAAACATTTTAATGTCTTGATAATCTGATATCGAAATAAAAATTAATTATAAAGTTTTTGAATTTATATGAATATCACACGCAAAATCTCTGAAAATTTACCTAAGCTTAACTATAAATTGTTTTTTAATTATTAAAATATTGATCAATTAACATTATAAATTAAAGATTATCACATTATTTAATATAGTTATATATTGTACCTTCAACATTCTTATCATTATCAGCGATACTATTGACCTTTAATCGATCTGCAGCAGCTACAGTGATACCCATAGTGTCGGTTTCGCTAGCTTCAAAAGCTAGACGATCTGTATCGAGTTCCCTATATTGTATATCTTCATAATCATCTTCTTCGCGAACATAACTAGATATTGCTTCGTCTCCATCATCGATACCTACGATAATAAAAAATATACGATATTCATGTTGTACGTAAAGTTCGGAGGAAACCTGTGTTTTGAATGAAATATTACCATCTCCAGTTGCGAGATCTGGATTGAAGTAAAACATTTCTCTGCCTGATATGCCGACTTGTCGACCAGCCTTGTAATCGTTTCTTTTTTTTTCTTCATCCTTGATTGCCTGTTCTTCCTTCTCCTTCAACTTTCTCTTCTTCCAAGCTAAGAATGTCTCTAGCGTTATCTTAGTCTGTGAAAATCATTAAATAATTAGTATATGATGCTTTCCTTTATAAAATTCATTCGCTGATTTAAAGTCTGTTGTATATTTCATGTGTATTATTTACATATTACCTGATTAGATCCTAAATTAGCCCTTTCTTTTTCTATTAAATCTTCCAAAGATATTTCATCTTTCTTTTCTTCCTTCTTCTTATCTTTCTTCAAGACAAATCCAGGAGGTAAGGCATGCCTATAAATGCATTTTTGACCAGATGGACATTCCCAAAACCAACCGTATTTCGCTTTTTCTACCGCTTCCAAGAAATGTTTGCAGATCTAATGAAAAAAAAATATCTTGTTTCATCTTTTCTTTTAAAAGCAAGTTTTCAAAAGATTTTCTATAATAATTTTTACATGGATGTTTATCAAGCATTTGCTCAACCTACAATGTCAGTTGTCGGACGATTACCACCACCACCATGTTTCTTCTCCACAACTTCTTTCAACTTGTCCTCATCCCATTTATCCATTGTATCTAATTCCTTATCGTCGTCTCTCATATCACAATATAAGGAACGTTTCTCAGCTTTGCGTTCAATACTTAAGTCATGAGAGAATTTACATTTATCTCCTTTTGTGCATTGTCCCTGTTTAAAGAACGCGCAAACGACTGACTTAGGATCTATACCTGTAAATATTATTTTACAAATGTTATTTTTTAATTTGAAGATATATCTATGCTAAATTTTAGTTTCTTGCATTTAATGGTATCTTGATTACCTTTAGTGTCATTTTAGTATCTAACCTAAAAATAATTGAAAACCTACAGACAAAAGGGCTTTATTTAGGAAACAATACAAAACAATATTCATATGTATAAATTACGACAATTGTAACTTACTAACTTACTAACTTAATAACTTTGAATAAGATTTTACAGATGATACTTATGTAACAGTAACCATCTGTTTATGCTAATAGTACTATTCCAGGACTCAGCACATATTGCACATTTTGGTCAATTTTCAACTTGCTCTGCTTAATGCTATTCCCCTTTTGTGCTTCGTGCACATGCTATGTGCCATTCAAGATTCAGGAACATATGACTTGTAAGTACTTGTTTCCATTAGTGAAAAGCCATTGGAAATATATATTAAAAGTTATACATTCCTGAATCTTGAGCTGCTCCTAGAGTGTGCACAGGATGAAGTGGGGGGAATAGCACTAAGCAGAGCAAGTTGAAAATCAGCTGAAATGTACAATATGTGTCAAGCTCTTTTACTACTCCATACCTTTGTCTATTTTTTGCGTTTGAACAGGTTTGAAAATAAGCGCCAATTCCTTTTGCTCTTTGAGTTTCTTCTCTTTCTCTAGTTTCTTTGCATTGGGATCTTCAAGTTTGCGTGGATTAACACCGCCGGATTTCACTTGTTTTTCAACTTGCTGAATAAATTTTTGCTGCTTGGCACCCTTTTTGTTTTTTATACCAAACGTTTTATCCTGAAAGAAAACTTGTGCTTTAGGAAAATCATATTTCGTTTGAAAGCGTATATCAATTACAGCAAGCATAGATGCAAGATTTCTATATGTATGTATATTGGAAACATGTGGGAAACATGTGGGAATTTGCAAGTTTTTGGTTAGAAAGACAAGGGGACCGCTTTCTACCTCAATAACTTTTTCCTTTTTCTTTTGTTCCGTTTTTTTACTCGGTGCCGGTGCCTTTTTCGGTGGCATTTTGTCAATTTAAAATTTTTCTCGATAATACAGAAACACTTTGAATCTTAAAATTAACTTTAATAAAAGCCGTATTTTACTCGAAAATACTTATTGCCCACCATTACATTTCTCCCCGCATTATGCCGCTATCCATCACCTATGGTCTGTTCTTTTTAGCAGTGCTGCTGAATTAGTGCAATAAAGCATCGTCTACAATGAAAACTTAAAGGCCGTGGTATACAGAAAAACATAAGCAGTAAGCAAATTGACCAATTACGGTCGTTGATTCTTGAACCGTAAGAAGATCAGTATCTGAGATTGGTCAATTTGCTTACTGCTTACGTCTTAAGGCCAAATTACACTAGCGATTGGCGATTGATGATTGACGATTGAAGATTGGAACTTGACCAATTGGAACAAAGCAAGCCAAGGTTGAAGTTCGTTGATTCATCAAAATCTAATCTTCAATCATCAATCATCAATCACCAATCGCTAATGTGATTTTGCCTTTAAGCAAGTATCAGACTATCTACTACACAGGCCGACCCGACTGCCGACTCTCAATGAACCAATCACAGTGAGGCGCTGACTCGGCGCCTCACTGTGATTGGTCCATTGAGAGTCGGCAGTCGGGTCGGTCTGTGCAGTCGGTAGTCTGATACGGGCTTTACGGTTACGGAAAGTGTGTGTGACCAACTTAACTTTTTGAAATAATGACTTGCGATTGGTTGAGCAAAATCCGCGATGTGCTTATTCCGGTCCGTGGGGACTTAAGAGCTCTTGTTTCAATGCTAAAAATGACGGATTTATATATATATATTACGCATCCATTGTGAGGGTGCAAACCCATGCAGCGGAATAGCGGAGTGCGGAACGAGAGCGGAACCAATCACGAGTGAAAACTTGATCTGTTCTTTTCAGCTGCACTGCTGAACTGATGCAATAAGTTAAAGTGAGACAAATATATGTTTTCTCACTCTAACTTATTACACCAGTTCAGCAGTGCAGCTGAAAAGAACAGATCACATGTAGAACGCTCGTGATTGGTTCCGCTCTCGTTTTGCGCTCCGCTATTCCGCTGTATGGGTATACTTAAATTCATGGCATAGCGGTTATGTTGTGCTGAATATTAATAAACTTGGCCAGCTGGATTGTTTGTTCTTATTAATTTGAGGTTATATGGGGCCACGTCTATTGTATGATAGAAGTATGCATATATTACGCAGCTGCGACAAAACTATTCCGCAGATTTCACTAAAAATTGTTGAAAAACGTGGAACGCTCGTGATTGGTTCCGCTTTCGTTCCGCGCTCCGCTATTCCTCTGCATGGGTTTGCACCCTAAGTACTTATGGAGCGGAATGAGCACTCGCTCAATCGCGAGTCATTATTTCAAAAAGTTACAACTGCCTTAAAACTTATTTTATAAATTTTAACATTTTCAGTCAATATTTTTAATACAAAATACATTTAATTAAGTATTTATATATATAATAATAAAAACGAGTAATAAAACATTAATTTAAAAGTCATTTTAGTTACGTGCTATTCATTCCGCTTACGCTCATTCCGCTCCATGGGTACTTAGGGATTGAAAATCCGTGCGACAAAAACTGCGGAACATTCGTGATTGATTCCGCTCTTGTTCCGCGCTCCGCAATTCCGCTGCATGGATTTGTACCTTTACGTTACTTCTGCTAGAAAGAACGCACCTGTGTACACTTCTTGAACTAGTGCATCTGGAAAGAACAAACCTCTAGTGTACGTAGCTGGAAAGCACTCAATGTGAATCCTCCATAAGAAAGTTCCTAAAAATATAGTTCAGAATACTATTGTATGAAAACTGAAGGAAAATAAGAGGTCTTTCCATCCGCTTTGATAAACGTGGTTAGGTTGAATTACCACGAGATAAGCGATAAAACGAAAACACGATGGCTAAATTTGACTTAACATCTCGCATAGGTCAATATCTTGATCGTCATCTTGTATTTCCTTTGTTGGAATTTTTATCGGCTAAACAAGTACGTTGTGAAAATGAAATGTGCGGCGTGGCATTTTGTTGGTTATGTTACATTTGATATGTTACAGATTTATGATGAAGATGAGCTATTGCAAGCAAAACTCGATATTCTCAGTAAGACGAATATGATTGACTATACGATCGACATTAGAAAACAACTTTATCCCAATCTGGAAGTACCAGAGGTTTGTTAATGATACAATGAATTATGCATATGTTACTGATGTATGTACAAGAACTATCATCGGTTTTTTATTTTTATTATTTTTTATATATTTTGTATATTCACATTATACGATAAGTATGAATGGATAATGTATTTGGCTTAGGAATTAAAGGCCAGACGTGCTGATGTACTTCAAGAGCTTAGTTCACTCCAGAACAATGTTTCAGTGGTTGTAGCTCTTATGAATAATGAGGAAGTTATGAAGAAAATGGAGAATATGCGTGACTCAAAAACACTTAATAATTATCTCACTCAGGAGTCAGATGTAAGTAAAATATAATACATTGTAATGAAACATCTAAAGACAAAAGATTTCATTAAAGTGTATTTTTGCAGACTATATATATATATATATATATATATATATATATATATATATATATATGTGTGTGTGTGTGTGTGTGTGTGTGTGTTTTTAATAATTTATGATATTGATATGATAAGATGAAATATATGATAAAATAATTAATTTTGTTCATTATGTTACAGTTTAGAGTAGAGATGATGGATAGCTTTGTAAAGTTAGCAAAGTATCGCTATGAATGTGGTAATTACTCAGTTTCAACATCATATTTATACTTCTACATGTTGATTATGCCACCTACTGATAAGGTACTCAATGAATGTCCATGATAAATTATAAAATTAATATATAATATTATGTGTGTATATATGTAGAAGATACATATTTAATTTTTAGAATTATTTAAATGTCTTATGGGGAAAATTAGCATCAGAGATCCTTGTACAGAATTGGGAAACAGCTTTGGAGGATGTAAACAAGCTGCGAGAGTACATAGACAGTAATGTTATTGGTAATTCACTTCAAGTATTGCAGCAACGTACATGGCTCATTCATTGGAGTTTGTTTGTATTTTTTAATCATGTAAAGGGGAGAGACCTTATTATTGAGATGTTCCTCTACCGACCACAGTATGTATAATGTTTTAAACAATAATTTATAATAATATTATAAAACGTATAGGTTGTAAGAAAGTTATAACGCAGATAACATTGTTACAGCTATTTAAATGCTATTCAAACAATGTGCCCACATATACTTCGTTACTTGGCTGCTGCTGTTATTGTCAATCGTTCTAGACGATCAATTTTGAAAGACCTTGTGAAAGTCATACAACAGGTTAAAAATTTTAGAATTTCATTTATATACACAGTCTATAACAATCCACATAATCTCTCTTGATGAGATAGTAACTTTAAATTAAATAAGAACTTTAACTGTAACTTGACAAGATTCTGACAAATCTTTTAAAAGATTTTTATTTTTATAGGAATCTTATACTTATCGAGATCCCATCACAGAATTTCTTGAACATTTGTATGTTAATTTCGACTTTGACGGTGCTCGACAGAAGCTGCAAGAATGTCAGACTGTTGTCTTCAATGACTTCTTCCTGATTGCTCTGTTGAATGAATTTGTAGAAAATGCTCGATTAATGATTTTCGAGACGTTCTGTAGAATTCATCAGTGTATCAGTATTGGGTATGTAGTTTCTTTTCGAAATTATCTGTACTAATCGTTTATCGGTTACACTTTTTTATATTACTTATAGGATGCTTGCGGAGAAGTTGAATATGAAGGCGGACGTGGCGGAATGTTGGATTGTGAATTTGATCCGTAATGCACGCTTGGATGCCAAGATTGACAGCAAATTAGGACATGTGGTAATGGGAGGACAGCCGGCATCGCCGTATCAACAATTGGTGGAGAAAATCGAGACCTTGAGCGTACGAAGCGAAGCACTAGAGAATCTAATCGAGAGAAAGTTAAAGGCGAAGAATCAAGACCCAGTAAGTATAGTGTGGAACTAACAGAGGTCAGTATCATTCATGATCATACCGGCGCACGGTGTCACATGATTTGTTTAATGTATAACATGTTGCGATAAACATGAGACGTGAAAAGAAACTATCTATACAGATATTAACGAGATAAATGTTTCATAATGTATGGTTTTGAATGTATCATTTTAAGGCATGTTCTCGTTTGTCGTCTTCGTAAGTGCAAGGTATTGAATAACTATCTCGTTGATTTTATCAATTGTTCTAAAATGTTTCGACTTTGTGTTTCCATCATTATGCCATTGTGGAAAGTAATTAGAAAAAAGATAGAGATATTCTGAAATTTGTTCTTTATACATAAACGTAATGAATGATCAAATTTCGTTTCAGTATCAACACTCCTGGAACTTGGATTTATGACATCTTGACACAATATGGAAAAACAATGTGCAAAAGAAATATTCCAGCAACGACTATTTGCAGTGAATAGGCTTAATACAATGTACCTTCCAAATATAAAGAAATAATGAAGTCCAGTGTCATCGTGAAAAACAGATGTACTTTTATTTGTTTGTTGAACCTAATATCAAGATACATGTATAAAAGATACACGTATAAAATCAAAATTCATTCTGTAACTGATAATTGACACTAATAAGCCATAATATTTTGTAAAAGGAAATATCGCATTTATTTTACATAATCATATTTTTACTTTAAGATTAAGGATCATAATCAATTAACCTTGGAATATTTTGTGTTGATACACGAAATTATCGGTAAAAATAAAAAGATAGTATATCTCATCTAAGAATTTTAAGAAGGAACTTTAACTATTCTATTTTTTTTTTTTTTTAAAAATTGTGATCTTTTGTTCAGAATTACAATAATTTACGTTAATTATAATTAAGAAATATCACTTATGTTAAAATCATGTTGAAAATTACATCCCGTGTACATACCACGATTCATACAGTATATAAAAACACTTCTCCAATATGGATCCATATAAAGTAATTTGGGATTTCCAATAATTATCAGCAGAGCGCGAGCGCGAGTGATTGCAACGTTGAGTCTTTTTGGCGAAGCGACAAATCCCAGGGCGTGTTTGATGTCTTCGTCGATTAGATTATTACACGACCTGACAGTCGAAAGAATAATCACTTTTCTTTCTTGTCCTTGGAATCCTTCGACACTGCTAACTTTCGGTATTTTGACATCTAATTCAAACAGCAAGTCTTTGATTTGCATTACCTGAATTCAAGAAAAGCGATTGATAGAAGAACAGGAAGAATATATGCGCGATACTAAATATGTAACAAATATATAATACATGATAAGATATACAATACATGTAAGATAATAAATAGGACGTTAGTTAAATATGCTTACCTGTTTTTGATAAGGAGTTATAATTCCTATGTCATCTGGTTTAAGTCCATACTTATACAACTTCAATAAGTAGAGGTACACTTGTGTCGCTTCTTCGAGATTGTACCAGCTCGGACTGTCAGAATCTCTGCAGTTCTCGCCATCGACTCCGTGGAAAACAATAGCCGGCGGTGATCCGTTTCTCTCGGGCAATTCTGCTCTCAGCGTTTCTAAGAGTTTAGCTTCCTTGCTCTTCTTAGACGATATCTAAATACAACGCAAGAGTACGTAATTACGAATTGTAATTAATTTATGGAAGACTGAATCCAGGATGATATCAATAATGGTTGTACGTACATGCGGCAATAATTCGGAGTCATAAAATAGTGAATTTGGTAATTCCATTATTTCCGGTAAACTACGATAGTTTATGAGGAGCTTTGTGATAAGTCTCGGGTCGTAATGATTCTCGAATCCTTCGTTGTCTCTCTGGTACGGAAATTGATGCAACAATCTCGACAGAAACGACTCGCCTAATCCGTAGCGCGCAGCTAGTTTGCTCTGTATGACGGGTCCGAGTTGCATCGGGTCGCCCGCAAGAACCACTTGGCCTTGGTCAGAATGAATAAAGTTTAACGGTATCATAATCTCCGGCTCGGTTGCTTGTCCTGCTTCGTCCACCAGAATATGGGAGAAGTGACCGCGCGGGAAACCCATGTTGTACAATATCCCTAAAGTGGTGCAGGTACCGATGGTGATTCGATGACGACCTAGCACAGACATAGTACAGTTCAATCTGGGTCCCTTTCCTAAATAAGAAGAGCGTACGTTCGTTCCCTCTTCCGCTAAATCCGCTGTAGCGCAATAAGGCAGCAATTTCTCAGGTATAGAATCGTCATATAGACAATGATGAGCTATTAATCGGACCTACAACATACATATACTATAAATAAGTGTAAGCTAATTTAATGATCTGAATTCTCTAATTCTAAATTAATATTGATGAAAAATCTTAAATTGTGAAGAATTAACATTTAGAAGAAAGAAAAACATACCAGATCACCAGGTTTTAGTATGTCACTATCCAACAAACGTTCTGTTATTAAATTCGCTGAACTATTCGATGGTGTTGCCACCATAAGTCTACTTTCGGGTACCATTGTAAAAATTTGCAGAATCGCCTCGCAAAGTGTTATTGTCTTTCCCGTTCCAGGTGGACCAAATATCACATAGGGTAGTGGACGCGCTAATCCCTTCAGTATGTTTCTCACGGCTTCCCTTTGATAGTAGTTCAATCTTTTATCATACCAAATTAATTTGCGCTTTTTTATCTGATTGATATAGGGTTTTAATTCATCATTGATCTGGGTAGTCTGTTCATCTGCTCTCTTTGAGAGTGTGTTGCTGATTATATTAGTTTTATTATTATCGTTACACTTCGCTAGATTCATTTGGAAATTCGAATTAGATTCTGTTTCCGAAGACGAAGTCGTCTCTTCGGGTAATGATTTAATAGGCTTAACGTTGAAAAGCCTCTCTACTACTGACATTCTTGGAGATGTTCTGACTGCACTATCAACAGATACATCGCTACCAGAAGCGATACTATTAGAGGAGTCAGCGGATGACATGGATCCGTTTAGTTTGTTATAGATTCGCGTACGAACGTGTTTCTCCTCGACTTCGTCCTCCTGTAAGTGAAACTGCGCTTCCTTCTCCACTACTTTGGTAGGAAATAAAGTCACAGATCCGAGATGATTAATGGCAAAATTAATAGCATTGTGGCAACGTTGAAAAGTAGTTTTCGAGCATTTAAACGTCACTTGGCAAGTTTCATTCTTATAGTCCTGATGAAATTGTTTATTAAACTTAAGAAAGATTTCGTTGCTTTTGATTTTATGAATGTAGCCCTCATGTTTCAGTTTTCCTATTATAAATAAAAATAAAAATTATTAAGATTATTAACTTTACGTTAAAAATAGTTCAACATTACTTTTAATGTTTTAATAATTCGGTTATTGCTCGTAAATTTGACGCATAAGTAAATCAACATTAAAACACACTCAAGTTTTTTTTCAGGATAAATATTACCTTGAGAGCTATCCCAGTGGAAAGATACTACAGCTCTATCACCGATCAGAAGAGAAAGTCGTTTTTCAACTAACCCCGGCACTTCTAGTGTAAGATATTCTTCGTATCGTCGCATGACCGCGTGTTTTATGTCGTATTGTTGTATGTTGAGCGTCTGAGCTATTTCTTCCAAGTATAGTAAAACATGAAAACGTTCTCTATACGTATGCAAGGTTAATTGTTTCAGGAGACATGGTATTTCATTTTCTAGAGCAACTTCGCACTCTATCTGCGATTTTTCATCCTTCATATTGTCCAAGATAATGTTCCAAATGTATCGCGGCACGTGGAAAATTCCGTTGCGTACTTTAACAAAAGCAGGTGGTCTATACGGTTTTATTCCGGGGATATATGTCATTTCGTTCTCTTCATCGAGATTGACAAAGTTGATTTTCTGGCTGTGCTTTTGCGCGACGGACGTAGCAAGAGCGTTTCGTGAAACGTTTCTTGCATTGACAGTTATGTGAAACAATTTACCGATCTCGAAGTCTTCGAATTTAAAGATGAACAACTCCTCGGATCTACCAACGAATTTCGCTTTACATTTGAATGTATACGAAATGCTTTCAGAGGGTTTTATTACCGTACTAATATCCATATTCGTCGGTGACATTACCGATAATTGAGATGGAGTTTTTTGCGACACAAACGCACCGTTTCGCAATACGTGAGCATTGTCGTCAGTATTACGAATCGTGACTGTCAGAGTACTCTCTTCTTCTATATCCAAACTGAATTTCAATTCATCATCTATGATAATTCCGCATTTATTCTTTAGTAAGTCACTCGATACATTCGAATGCAAATTGTTTATAACTGACTGATGGGGAATCTTGTTTCCTGTCTGAAAAAAAAATATGAAGTATAGGATCACAATCTTGTCATATGTGAAGAGAAGTTTATTATTATAATCATTATCAGGTAAATTCTTACTTGGACTAATGGTACTACAGTTAATGATCTCCATCTGTAAATTCCTTGATCGCTTTCTATACTATCGCTCACTACTTTGTCGTCAACACAAGGAACATAGCCCGGCTCGCAGGCACCTTTATGAAATATCACACTTTTATCGATTATTCCTACTCGACTTTGTGGATCGTAACTAGTTATTACACCCACATTCAGATTACATCGCAGCGACTTGATTTTATCCACTTCCAAGATTTCGCCGTATAGATCCGGAGAGTCATTGTTTACCTCAACTAGAGATTCTAATGTTAACCAGTCACCAACAAGAGGAATAAATTCGGATTGTACTTTATTCAAATCGATGCGAATATTGTTTGGTTCGACGATGATGATGCGACCCTCACGTTGAGTCACTTTGGCGATCAAGCTTTTTTGTATTATGCGGTTGTAGACTACATTATTTTCTGATATTTCACTCTGGTTGTCCCATGATTCATTATTTGTTAGAGAAATAATTTTTATTACTCTTAATTTCGCATTCGGGTCCCGTAGTAATGCCAGATAGTAAACATCGTCACCCACTTTTAGATTATTGCTCAAGTGGTCATTTTTTTCATACACATAAAGATTATCTATTGTGACAAAATCCACAGCAACATTGGTGATGGTTCCTGTTTTGTAGTAACATCCCTCTTCATTCAATATTTTCTTTTCCTCTGCAGTTTCAGTCGTACCTCTTGCACATTCTAAACGAGATATAGCTGTATCTATATCTTTAATCTCAGTTTTATTCGAATAATCTTTCATGTGCTTTATAGTGTACTGAACCAGGTTGAACATTAGAGTCAACATGTTTAATTTCTTTGGCTCCTATCTAAGTACCTATAGACAAAAACAGACAAAATATAGGTGTAGATATTGGTACATATCAGAAAGTAAGATTAAGATGACTAGATTTCCCAGCTTCAAATCTAGAATAAAATGGGTCTAGTAAAAGAAAGAAGAGGAAGATC